CATATGGTGAGAAATCGGATTCATACAATCCGAGCTTCGCAACCTCGTTTCAACGAGGCTTTGGTTACTTGGTTTGCAGCTTTGGAGACATAAAAGCTCTGATTGTGTAATTTCAAAAGCTTTCTACTTTTTCTGCACCTAATGTAAAAGACCGCTGTTTTTTTGGTGATGAATACAATTTTACATTCTCTTCAAAAAAAAAATTTTAAATTAAATATATATAACATAAAGGATTAAATTATAATTTAAAAATATAGTTTTAAGAATTAATAAAAAGTAAAGGATTATCTTGTAAATAAAAAAGTTCATCTGCAAAATGGAGTTGAAAATGGGGTTACTCCATATTTGGAAGGAAAAATGGCATTCCTCCATTTTGCTGGTGAAAATGGGGTAGGGTTGGAGAAGAATTTCCTCCAAAATGGCATTTGGAGGAAGAAATGGGGTAGGGTTGGAGATGCCCTTATCTATAAAATTTTCAAATAATTATTTTGGACATAATCATTACAAAAGAAGTTAGAAAGGTAAACTTAAAATTTTATAAGATTATAAAAACTATTTCATTTATTATACTGTTTACATTGTCTTCTTACACTTCTTCTAACTTTTTCATCTTCTTATCCTTATTTCTTTTTGTTTTTCGTGATATCTTTATTTCCTTTTGTTTTCCTTTTGTTTATATTGTTTTCTTACACAAATACTATAATAAATTACAAAATGTTTTTAAAAGCAGACGTTATTTCCATACTCACGTACATATCAGTATCTCTTATAACATTTCACCTGATTTTTGGCTTATCTAGTAAAGCCCTCCAATTTTCCTTCATCGTCCTCACTCGCCTTTGTTGTCTCCTGTTTTTTTTCTTTAACTTAAAAAAATGAAATTCAAACATAAACAATGAATTTAAAAGCATAGACCCCTCTGTCCCCCTGTCTATGAAAACAACAATGACATTAGTATTAAAACCCCTAAAAAACTGATATCTTACAGCATCTTCAATCTTCTTGTGTTGTATAAGCTATCTTAAGGGTCAGTACACAGACATTGTCCACAGGTTATGTTCAATCAGATCAACGAACTCAAAAAGACCAAACCTTGAGCTCACTTTGACTGTATCTTTTTGTCATTATCGGTAGTTCCTTGTAACCAAAGTTTTCTTTTTGTTCTCTGCAGCTAAGCAGTCTAACAATAACCTTATGAAAGAAATCCCAGTAAAATAAACCAAACCAAAGCCAGATAGTGTATGCATTAGTTGTGTTATTCCGACAAAAAAAGATTACTGGATTAAAAACGACTTGAATTTTATTAATGTTTGGAATTATGATTTTATTCATCTATATGTAAAACACACACTATACGTCTCTTAAAATAAAAAAAAAAAAGCCAAAACCAATAATTTATAGAAAAACCTATATTTATGGCTGCTGTTTGTTCTGAAACTGGTATGGCCTTTGATGATCTAGTAACTCAAGTCTAAAGATATTTCCTGTTAGAACAAAAAGAAAAAAACAAAAAAAAACAAACTTAATAGATAAACAAAGAAAGAGAAACAAATAAATCTTCTGGCCATACAAAGAAAGAGATCGAGATCATCTCCTTTAAAATTCTTATGACCTGATATTTGTTTCTCTTATAATTAAATTTGGTTAGTGAAATAGATGTCTCTATCTATATTGGTTTGTGTAACTGTCAAGTGTTTCTAAGGAACGTTATAGAAAATGGAGTCTGAGACGAATAGAGCAAATCATATATATGAACACAGAGGTTCAAAGAGTGAACTATCGATTGATCAAAAGAATTCCAAAACTCTTAAAAAGAACTCTCCTTTTTAATCTAATTATTAGAATTTCTCAGAGCTCAAAAGATAACATAAAACCTAAACCATATATAGATAACAAAAATATAGCAAATCAAAATGTGCACAAATCAAGAACAAAGCAAATCTGGTACATCGATCATAACCTCTTTTTCGTATATAATCATCAAGATCACAACAATACTCCTCCTTATCATCTTCTTGTTCTTATTCTCATTCTCATTCGTTGGTTGTGTAGTTTAGACCACAAAATTGGAAAGCTAAACAAAAAATCAGATAACAATGACGATTTATTTAAAACGAAATAACACTACTCAAAGGACAATAAACAAATTGAAAAAAAAATACTTAGATGACTTAAGAATTACCTTCATCTTAATAGTTGTATCCTTCTCCTTTCTTGTCTTCTTTTTGCTATTCTTTGCCTTATACTTTAAAGACTTTTTAAAAATGTAGACAACTACAATGAACCTAAAGATCTTACATGCTCTTACTACGTATTCTTCTTCTTCTTGAAATAAAAAGGGAAATAATTACATGATGCTTATGATTTATTTAGCTAAAGCTAGAATTGAATCTACACATACTACATTGATGCCCTTCGTTGTGGAACTTCATCTCGAAAACCATCTCTTGGTTTTTCTGGCTTGTTTTCGTTTTTACTTCTGGCCAAAAAGAATAGCCAATCATCAAAACAAACCACTTCAAAACTTATGATCCAACGTTTTTTGGTTAGAAGACATAAATTTAAATCAGCACAATTAAAATAAAGAATCGACCTCTGCTGTCTTGATTATAGTTGTTGCCATATCCGATATCTGTCACGTTGTTTTGCCGCCGACCATTTTCTATTACATGTATATGTGTCAGTATAATAAAATCCATATTACAATAGGAGATATCAAACTGAACACAAAAACCTAAAGCATATATCTAACCATCTTGATCTTGATCAAAATTGATTTCAAACTCTCCTAGTACCTGAAATAAATCAGCTTATATTTGAAAAGATTATATAAATAAATTATCATCCAAAAAGGCATAACAAAACACAAAATATATGAAAATATGATAATGAAAAAAAGAGATACTCATATGTTTTGAATTGAGATGGTGCAGCTTACGCAACTCCGTCTTCCTCCAATTCTTTCCTAGGCATAACAAAACATAAAATATATGAAAATATGATAATGAAAAAAGAGATACCCATTTGTTTTTAATTGAGATGATGCACAAACAAAATCCAACAAAAAGAACATAGAAGTAGACTAAACGATTGTATGACAAAGGAATTACCTTCTCTTCTTCGAGTTCTCTTCACCGTCTTCCTCTTTTTCTTTGAGGATATAACATGCTTTTAAAAATTATAACAAACAATTAGATGACGGTGATGAATTATTTATCTATAATGATTTATAGAACATAAATAATAGAACTGAACAACTTACAAAACATATTGAATAATCAAATAGACAACACAATAAGAACACAACAACAGTAAAAAAACACCGATTAAATATTCAAATAACACCAAACCAAACAAAAACTTACCTAACAATATACTGCGAAGCCCAAAATTGTGATCATACTTTTCGATGGATTCAAAATACCATATCTAGAAGAACACATAGTTAGATTAGTCTGTAAGAAAAGGAACATATCGGAAATCGCACAAAAAAAGAAAAAAAAAAAAAGTAAAGAAATCAATCGCCAAAACCCTAGAACAAAACGTATAAAAAATAGCATATGAATATGAGCGGAGGCTGAAAATATTTATTTATATAGAAAACGATTTAGGGTTTATGTGTTTCCTTACTTATTTGTTTATTATTGATGTGATCAACTATTTCTTTATATTTATCACAAACATGGGCTTGGACTCACTTTTCTCTATATCTGGTCCACGATTGGTTAAAAAAAAAAAATAGAAAGAGATAAATTTAGAAGAAAAAAACACTATTAAATTAGTATAAGATTCGTACTTGCTACCTATGAGATAAGAATGCGGGTCACTAACCATTGTAATTTGTGTTATTTTTATGTTAACCAATCAGCAGTTAGATATATATTTTATTGTCGACAAAAAATGGTATTATGCCATTTATTTTCTATCATGGGCTATACTCCATGTTTTGTTATGTATTAATTATGAAATATTTCATTTTAATCAGATTTTCTTTTTAATTGCATAATAATCAACTGACCAATCAGAATAGAGTATTTTCATTAATGACATAAATGTAATTTAACACATTCCACCAAAACGATAGAAATAATAATAATAATTAATTAACATCAACCAATCAAAATATAATATGAGATGACCAATCAAAACATAAGGATTTCATTAATCAAAACGATATCAAAAAATGTTCATTGAACCACAACACAATTCACTTTACAAATACTATAATAGATAAGTTTGATGAATTTTAAATTCCAATGAAAATTCATTGTTATTAGAAAAAAATGGGAGTTTAATGATTTTGCGTTTTAGACATTATAATGTTATTGGAAAATAGGTTCTTAATAATTTAAATTATAAAACATAAATTTCGAAATAATATATCTCTTGAAAGTCAAAGTTTGTTATAATAAAACTCTGTTAAACATCTCTACAAGATTAAAAAACTTTTATAAATTCAACACAACTCTATGTAAATTTGACAAATCCCTTAGACTTTTAAAATCAACCATCTATATAAATTCAACTCCCATCAAAAGTCTTCTTGGGGAAATCTTTAATAAATACACTAATTTTATGTAGAGGTGTGAGAAAACACATAATGGATTTTAAGAAGAGTTTAAAAACAATATACATATTAAATTATTGTTCTGTATTCGTCTTCAACGGTTGCTAAACACTGGCTTTAAGGTGTCATTTTTGCTGCCAAACTTTTACACATAAATATCAAGACGATAATTCAATATTGATTTCTTCTTCTTACAACGTGCACGATCCAGAAAAGGTATGTCTTAGTTCGAAAAGACTTTGTATCGTACCATGAAAATTCGGATCCGAGAAAAAAGCACAATGCAACAAACTTTCTCGTTTGTATATTATATAGAATCGAAATTAGTCTATCTTTCATATCTTAATCTTGCTCTGTTTGAGATTCAGATTCTCCTTTATAGTGATGAGAAATTAAATCAGCAACGTAGAAAATAAGGGAGCGACTTCAACAATAAACAAAAACAAGAAGCTGAATAGATTAACACAAGAACCATAACGGATTGTATAGAACAATCAAAATACCAAAATGTTTACTCTTTCCAATGTTTAAGAAGTCTACAATGCTACCAAAATCAAAACCCGAATTCAAAGGTAGAATCAAGACGAGCTCCAAAGCAAGGATTAAACAAAAAGATAGATGCAGATTTTCAGTACTTAATTGGTGCAAGAACATCGAGCTGGGATCCAAGTTTCTCGTCTGCAACCTTCTCTGCCTTAGTCCTGAGCTTGATGAGCTGCTTCTTACGCTCATACACAGCCTGTGACCTCTCCTTTCTTTTAACCTCAAGCTCCTGCAAAATCATAATACCAAAGTTAAATCTCCGAGTTTCTTCCTCATAACTAAACAGATTGAACAATGATATGATTCTAAGTTTTGCATTAAAACATCAGCTAGATTCATTACAGCATCCTAACAGTGAAAGAATGTGACAGTAATGCAACTGTCAGTGCAAAATTACCCTCTCAACTACAACTGATTTTGCTACAACTCAAAAGACCTAACAATACTTTGAACACTTGTTTTAGTTGTCAAAAAGAGGACATAAACTTTAAATAAACTCAATTTATGAATACGATAGTAAATGAAGCAACTTGGTGTTCCATAAACTTCATAACCAGAGAAAGTGACATACCTTAATGGTATCGTAATGGTTCCAGCCAACTTCAGAAGACAGACGACCCAACAAGCAGTACTTGTGACCAGCCTGGAGCCTCAAAACCCTAAGCAAGAACAAAGGAAACAAAAATGAAACCAGTTGATAGCTAATTGAAACATTGAACATTTTCAATAATCAAATAGAGGAAAAGTTTCAGGATTATTACTTGAGAGCATCAGGAATAACCATCCTCTTGACCTTGTCGTAAGGAGGAGGGACTCCCTCAAAAACCTTCAAGCGGTCCAGAGCAGCAGCTCCACGCTTGGTCTTGTGAGGAATCATCCTGTGACCCAACACAAACAATCTCTCATAAGCATTTACAAGAACACATTAACAAAACAAATGATATACTTAAGGAGATAATGTCACTGGCCAATCTAACTAAACACACTTATGAGCAACACAAAAATATCTAAATTTGGATACTTCTAAGTGAAATTAGTCATCGTCTTCAACTCATAACCACACATTAACTGATTTCAACGAACATAAACAAGATCAACTATACAAAGAAATGAACAATTTATCCAAAAACTTCCAAAATCTAGTCCAAATCTTCATTTTCCTAAGAGTAACAACAAGTGTAAAAGCTTAATGATAAATGAGAATTAGATTACGAACCCACGAACGGTACGCCAGAAGATCTTAGACGGAGCACGGAAGTGAATAGGACCATGAGAAGGTTTAGTGTTCATGCGTTTCCTGAGAAACCTCATGTACTTCATCTTCTGGCGAACAAGCCCACCTGAGAGACAAATCTCCTCGCATCGAACCACCACAACTTTCTGTCCATTGAGCAATTCCTTGGCGATAATCGAAGCAAGACGGCCCAACATGTGGTGCCTCGCGTCGACGACGACACGCTTCGCGCATATCCCTGACCCAGAAACCATCTTCTCGTTCTCGATTCGATGTGAATCTCTCTCTCACTAAACTTCCGCTCTTCGAGAAAAGGTTACGTCTCGACTTCAATGGCGAATTTTATATATGAGGCGGCTAGAAGAAAATTAGGGTTTAGTCTCCAAAAACCTAATTTCATTGGGCTTTTGGTATTATCAAGTAGGCCCATTAAAAGCCTCTTAACCTCTGAAACTCTTTTTTTTTTTTTAGTTTTCTTTTACTTTTCTCTCTTCAAGGGATTCAACAACGGATCGCTCAATGAATATAGCGTCGAAGATTCGACGAAGCTTTTTCAGAGAGAAGGAGAAAAAACTTGCAAATGGATCATCGAGCAGAAACGAAGACAGAGGCAAAGATGATTTTCTTGGAGTAACTGATGAACTAATCGATCACGTCAGATCCTTCACCATTGACACATTTAAGAGCTTCTCTCTGAACGGTAATTCACAAATTCAGCTCCCAAGTTTTGTTCAATGTCTTTGTGGGTTTCTTTATCGGCTGAAATTATGAAGCAGATGAAGAAGAAGAAGCGTCTGTGAATCCTTTGAATGAAGAAGGTAATAGAGTGAGCTCATCTGCTAATGTGAAGAAGGATTTATCTAATTGGCAGGAGAAACACGCCGTTCTCGTGTTATCGAAATCGAAGGTTCTTCTAAACAGAGCTTATTTCAAAGTTGATCTCTTTTTGGTTTTGATCGAGCTTATTTCAAAGTTGATCTCTTTTTTCTTTTGTTTGAATCAAAGTTGATATCTTTTTGGTTTGATCTTAATAGAGATTATTTCAAAAGTTGATCTCTTTTTGGTTTGCTTGTAACTATGCTCATGTTAACAATTAAATATTACTTTTTAGTTTTGCCGTTTGTAGGTTTGAGTTTTGGTAAATTAGGAACAATGTGTCGAATTTGTATAGAAATTTTTTCAAAGCTGTTCTAGACAAGATTGATTTTGATTTTTAAGTGAAATCATAGGTTTTTTGTGTTAAAATTTGATATCTCTGATAGTAAGATCTATATTTCTAATTGAATGGTTATTGGTACCGTAGCAGTAAGGCTCTTTGGCCATTTGGTGTCAGTGTATAACTTGAATCAGATTCGGATCAGAGTTTTGTGTGTTGAATGTTATTGTTCATTTTAAAGCTGCTCTCTTCTTGAATTTCTTGTAAACTGCTGAGGCTATATATTAATGAAAATGGCAAACTTGCTTCACGTGTTTAATGTTCAAGATGAGTTTAATGTTAGTAAAACTGAATTTGGTCGATTAGGAACATTGGTTTGAATCTTATAGATTGCAAATCTGCTCTAAGCAAGATTAATTATTTTGGTGTTTTAGGAACTCTCTCAGCTGAGATTTAAGTTGTGTCCACGTTTCTTAAAGGAAGAGCAGTTTTGGAAGATATATTTCCAACTTGTGAGGAATCTTGTGGCAAAGTAAGTACTTTATGGTTCCATCTGTAAATGCACATATAAAGTGTTTACCTTACTGCGTTGATTTGTGCATGATTCCCACATTCGCATGGAGTTAGCGGGATGGGTTTTTTCTTTTTGCTTTGGAACAAAGAGATGAGTAAAAAATCTTGGAAATTATATTGTAGATATGAGGTGCTAGCAATCCAACAGGCCAGAATTAAGAGGATGGCAATGGAGAAAGGTGAAACTTCAGAAACCAAGGGTGTATATGAAGTTGAAATGTCAGAAACAAGACAAAGGTTGAGCACTGGACCTGCAACTCCATAACTCGGTTTGCTAGTGTGACAAAGTTTGGGACAGGTATTGTAGTTTGCTATTAAATGCTTGTGTCATGTCATTTATTGTGACAATGTCATTTACATTGCTTAGGATGAAATCACTCTAAGCCACTTATGCTTGCTTTTCGCAGTTTGGCTCACAAGCTTGGGTTTAAGAAAGTATTTTGTAACCAAAAACAAAATGCTAAATGACAGGAGCTTCGAGCAGCGCTTGATCGTGTTCATGTGCTTAAGAGTGACAAAACCAAGTTTACACATCTTTAGAGGAGTAAATGATCATGTGAGTTTAGTATCAGACATGTTACAGTGTTGTTAAACGCTTATGCAGTAAAAGAATCATTATTTAATGTTTTGGTTCATCCGATGATCAAAACACCCAATTTGATGAAAAAAGCCCAGAAAGCGAGACAGTGACTGCAGTGCCAATAAAGAAGAGAGAGAGAAGAAAGAGAGAGGAGAGAGAGAGGAGAGGGGAGAGAGAGAAGAAGCATATTGCTGTGTTTTGGTACAAATTACAAACGTGTGAAAAGCCCAATCTCAATCTCGCTTTATACAGAGTAGTACAGTATCAATAAAGACGAGAGAGATGAAGAAACCTGTGACGACGTTTTTTGTTTCAGACGAGTTTACTACTTTTGCAACTTGAATCCAAAGTTTATGACTTTTGTAAGTAAAATCACTTGCAGAACCACAAACCCAGACAAAGAACTCACCAATTTGCAAACTACAATCTGATTTATTATTAGCTTGAGAAGAAAACTATGAAATGATTCAGAACAGAGACATGTCTAACCAGTAAAAAAAATTAGACTTTATTTTCTTGCAAATTAGAGAGATTAAAACATTACATTACCTTAACTAACAAGTTATCCACAACCCCTAAATCTTTGTTAGTCTGTGTGAAACTTCATTGCATCTATTAGGACACAGATGTTACATAAATCACACAACTTTACAAACCATTTTGTGGCACCACTTTGACCCAATCGTAACGCCCTGGCAATGGATTCTCCGACACAATGTCAAAGTTGTACCTACAAAACCAAACAAACTCTTATCAAGATCAGGAAAAGAAAGACTCTAAAACTCTAAACCCATGAATCAACTCAAGAGAAGATTACTACTTTTCAATGAAGAATCTCTGTTGTTGCTGCTCTGCAAATGCAAAGAAGCTTTCAATCTCACTAGACGAAGGAACACTTCGTATAGCTTCTGAGTCTCTTCTCAAGCTACACGGCGTCGTTTCACTGTAAAAACAAACTTAAATATCATCTCTTTGTATCAAGAAACAGAGTATAAGGTTTCTACTATCAAGAAACAGAGTATATAGGTTTCTACGAAAATTAACCTCTCTTCTGATTCGAAATCGAAACCTTTCTCTCCAAAATTACAATCAGATTTAGATTTCTCATCGTTAGCACCACAATAATCTTCTTTCTCCGTGGCCAAAACCGTCGTCTCCGGCTTTGATTTTTCCGCCGGAGAACCAGATTTAGACCTAGGGTTTCTCGTTTCTCCTTGTATGAGCTGGTTCTGCTGCTGTTTCCTCGTATCGGTGGGTAACGGAAGCTTGACGAGACGGCGGCTCCGGAGCTGGAGGTAGCAAAAGGAGTCTGCGTCGACGTCGGACGGCGAAGTGGAGTGAGATCGGAGACGGTGCAAGGCGAGGTTTTTGGCGGCGGCTCTGGTGCGGAAACCGAGAGTGGTTGTGTGAGGGGTATCCTTTAAGGAAAAGTCTCCGGCGATCTTTGACTTCTTTAGGTATTTTCCCATCTCCGGGAAAGATAATGCAACTGAATCTTCTGGTTGAGAGTGAAAGGACGGAAACCTTGAAGAAGAAGATGAAGAAGAAGAAAGAAGTGATTTTTAATCTGAAAAGTGAAAAAAAAGAAAGAAATGTTTTAGGGTTTTTATTTGGCTTTGATTTTTTTTTTTTTTTTTGTGTTGGGGTTTCAAAAAGCTCACCTGATTGGCACTGATTGTCTTTACTTTGTTTTGGGACATCAGGTCGAATAAAATGGAGAAAATGATCATCAAACTTTTTGGGAATTTTTAACCAACCTCAAATTTTAACAAAAATAAATAATATCATTTCATTTATTTTTATAAGATAGTCTTGCACTTTTAGTGTTGCTTTTCAACTTATTCAAAAGTTTTTTTTTTTGGTAACTATTAAAGGCCAAAATAATATGATGGTTTAATTTATGGGATAAGTGGTTGATGCAACAACATTAATAAAATGGTGCCGAAAGTAACAATTTCTTTGAGAAAAAGACCAATCAGATCATATTTTAAGCATTTGGGTAGACCATCCATGTTTAGACACGACGAACAGTCGAACACCACACCTAAAATGTAAAAATTCTTGGGTTTGACACTTTGACTGCATCTGGGGAAATTTATTTTTGGTCTGAAAGAAAGATGACTGTTATATTGATGAAAATCACGCTCTGAGGTTGGTAATATTCGGATAATCCTTGATTTCAACGGATTGTGAAGCTGGATGCTAAGGCGTAAGACTAATCTCGAAATTTTTTAGGCCTTAAACTCACAACGAGCAATGAAACAAGGCGGTAGCGATGCAAACTGATAGAATCTACGAAGCAAGTTGTCAACTGTAAAAGCGTGAGAAATAAATTCTCGAAAGTTTTTGAGCCTTAATTAAACTCGACTTAAAACACTTCTACGAGACAACATAATGTACCAAAAATATTTGTTGGCTAAATCCACCAAGAAACTAAAATAATTTGCAAGAAATAAAAGAAAATGATTTTTATTTAAAAAAAGTGAATGAAATCCAGATCTGAGATCTTACATCGTTATATAGAGAAGAAGAGTAGGCCAAGAGCCATATTCAGATATGTAAAAATATATTAAAGACAAAGACTAAAATTTAATAAAGTTTGGAATGATCCTTTGGCTTCCTTTGACGGACTCTTGAACTTCTTAGCCAAAAATGATCCTTGACATTCCACTTAAGTTTTGAACCGAGAATGAGATGTAAGTCCATTACCTTTTTAAAACTTTCACTTGAAAAACTCATTGGGACAAAACTGAAAGTAGAAAAAAGAGTACAATAGACTTAAATTGTCGGCCAAACCTCAAATAGATGTCCGAACTTGAACTAAGGTTAGGATTGGATGTGTGAGTTGATACTCCTTGGTCCGGTCTTGAACCTCCTTATTCTGGAGTTCATTAAGCAGCTTTTGGACGGCTCCCACAAACTTCCGGATCATAGACCTCGTCATTGGACCAATCGGGACTACCAAAGCTTCTTCTTGCTCCTTAGAGCATCTCCAATGGTTTCTTCATTTTTTCCTTTAAAAATGAAGAAACTTCATTTTTGAAGGAAAAAATGAAAAAACCATTGGAGCAAACTTTCTTCATTTTTCTCTTCAAAAAGAATATTCCAAGCATATTTCATCTCTATTTTTTTATTAATTGCTAACAAGATCTTATACTTTTCAGTTTTACAATATTTCACCTATTTATTTTATATAGAGTAATTATTCAACCAAACTATAAATTTTATATAATTAAAAATTTTATTATATAAAGAAAATTATAATACATAATGTAAATAAGAACAAACCATGCATAATCTTATGATGTACTAGAAGACAAGCACAAATTTTACAGAAAAAGCTGAACAACAACAAAATTAGCAAACTCCTCCTTCAGCATCAACTTTATTTGGAGAGTATTTTAATCATCTTAATGGATCTGGAAGTGATTTACCAAATTATTAAGTTGTTAGTTTATGTTATGTTAAGTTTATTATTTATAATTCAGTATTAATTATGCATTTTTAATTTTGTTGTGGGCTATGTTCTTGTATTTTATATATAATATATGTTATTGTATCTTTTTATTGTGTTCAATGTATTTTTACTTTATAATTTAGTTAAAAAAATTAACAGTTTTAAAATTAATTGGATAAAAAAACATATAAGTTTTGTTTCGGTATAAAACAAAGCATGTAGAAAGTTAAAGATATATTTTGTAAATAAAAAAGTTCATCTTCAAAAAATGAAGAAATGAACAGTGTTCATTCATTCAAATATGAAGGAACACTGTTCATTTCTTCATTTTGAAGATGAATATGAAGCACCATTGGAGAACATTTTTTTCATTTTTATCTTCAAAATGAAAGAAAATGTGAAATTTGAAGGACCATTGGAGATGTTCTTAGGTTCATCCATGATCATATCATATATACGTGTATCATTGTATCTAGTACTTTTTGCTCTGAGGTAATAATGCAGTTCGTTTAGCATCAACTATACAACTTCATATGATCATATCATTTCACTTAAGTTTGGTAGCTGGAGACAACTTTAAATTTATATCAAACAATCCAAACAATAGCTAGTATTCATATATTTCAAATTAAATTTTATGATGCTAGGCAGGTTATCGGTTAGATCTTATGTTTTGAAAGTCAATAATATTTTTCTCACATTTCACACAAAAAAATAAAAAAAGTTTACAAATATTTGATGGCAATGTGTTGTTCTTTATGGGACAAGCGTCTTATAAAATCAATATCGTATGGTTGGATCGTGATGTGTGCTGTCGTGTGTTGAGAGGGTGTGTCAAGTTTTACCCTAATTGAAATCAATAGCCGCAAGTGCACAGCTGATCGATTGTAGTACTTAGGGATCGAATCCACAGGGAAGGAGGATCTTTTGCTGCAAAAAGCCTTTGAAATAAGTTAAAGTAAGGAAGTCTAGAGCAAAAACGGTTTTGTGGGGGTTTGGTAGTGTGTTTAAAATCTAAAAACGAAATATTAAAAGAGAATACGGAAATTAAATGACGTAGTAACTAAACTTAACGAAAATGACTAAAAATAATAAAAATGGATATTCTAATGCTTAAATGAAAATGAACTAAAAAGGAAAGACAATATTGAGCTAAAGCTTAAAGAAAATCGGTGTAAATCAATGGAGAAAAATACGTTGGGGTTCAGGGAAGTTTTCTCAGGGGTACGAACGATTCAAAACATTGCTAGAGAGGAAATTTGATAAGATCTTAGCTTAAACTTTTCGAACTGGAGTCACGGACGTATGAATACGCCACTGTCGTGATCATAGACAACTATCTCTCTCAACCCTGACCAGTAGGTTTCCACTCTGGCCCTGGAAGAGAAGAGATGCATTATGTTTAAGACTCGTCTTAATTCACAAATCGCTCATAGGTAGGTTTCCACTCCTATGTTTGTTTTGCTCTCCCAAACTAGATCTGATACCTGATGAACACTTTCGTGTCACCAAGCATCTGGATCAGATTGTAGTTCATGACGCTACCTTCATGCAGTAAAAACGAATTCAGAAGAAAAAGTTCTAAGATTCGGCTCAAAAGCTCATGGAATCCTCATCGAACATATAAATCCCCATCGAAAATCCCTTAATCCCAACAATAGAACTACTCAGACATAATAAACGAAATCAAAGACATAATATTAAGAAGTAGAATAGAAATCGAAATTGAAGAAGAAAGAACAAGGGTTCAAGAGAAAAAATCTCTCTCTCCCTAAAATCTAAAGCAAAAACAATAAAAGTAAGAAGTAATGAAAGATGATATTCGGTTCTAGGTTACACGATATAGGGTTCCTAAGACATGTATTTATAGTGCTCAAGACCTCTCTGGACGCCACTTAGGGTTTCTCCAAATGTGGGCTTCAGAAATGGGCTTTTTGGGCTCGGAGGTTGATGGCCGCGGTCGGGAGTGCTCTGACCGCGGGGAATGGGTGGTTTTCCGCGGTCGGGATGCTCCTGACCGCGGGAAAAAGCTTGTTGGCCGCGGGTGGAAGTGCTGGCCAGCTGGTTTACGGGACATCTTGCTCTTCGCGTATCTTTTGATTGAACAGTTGGATTGCCAAGCTGTAAAGTGCACTGGAAAGCTGATACTTCCATCTTTAAGGTCTCCAAATTTGAGCTGGATCAGACGGTGAGAAGGCCTTCAATCAGGGGTGAACTTCTGACGGTTTGACTCTGAGCTGAAATCTGGTTTTCTATCCATTTTGTTAAGATTTTCCCTAAGTTACCTGAAAAGAGTCTTGAAACTACAAATACTAGAAAAAACGTGATAAAAGTACTTAAAAGCAATTAAAAACATAGAAAAAGTATTTCAAAACGATCCATAAAAATGGTCAAAATACGGTGTTATCAGATCCCCCAGACTTAAACCTTTGTTTATCCTCAAACAAAGCAAAAGCCTAAACTGGTTAAGTGAAAACAAAAATAGGAAATGCACAAATCTCATAGACATGAACTCTAAACTAGGATCAAAGATAGTGCATCAATCCACAACTTAGTCTAGAAAATTCTCACCAAAGCACAAGAGATACTAGTCCACTTTTTTCGTCATGCAAAACTTAAACAAATTAAATCTTGATTTCAGTCAACTAGCTCTCTACATTCATTAAGTTCAATAGTGAGTTCTCATTAAAGACATCATCCAGGGTAGACGGCGTTTGGCATTAAAGGGCTATTTAAGTGGTGGAGTTAAAGTGTTTCGGGTTACCTGAAGATCTGGAGGATGCAAGATAATATGCAAAACCGCAAGAGAGATAAGGACCTGTTGATGACCACAGTTTTCAATCACTTCTTCTTGCCAAATGTTGTTGCATAATCCTTCCTCCTTTGTTGTAAACAGCTGTTCTCCCAGACTTAAATTCTTTCCGGGAATCAGAAAACAATCTCCAAAACTCCATAAAATCGAACTCCAGTTGCCTTGGGACTTAAAATTCGACCTCTCTAGACTCTCTAAGGCTTTTATCTTATTTCTTTTCTTATTTTCGGTTTTTTTTTTTTTTTTTGGAAAGGTAATGCCTTTTAAAGAGAGAAGGACTAGAGGACGAGATTGTACCAAAATT